AGATCTCCCAAATGCATAAACCGAATGAATAAATGTCAGCTCTTTTAAAGGAATCGAAATGATTTAAATTAATCGTTTCGTCCAACACTTCGGGCGCCAAATATCGTTTGGTGCCGACTCTGGGGTTCGGAGGAATGTCCACTGAATTGGTGGACGAGTCGAAACGCACGGCGAGTCCCAAGTCGGCGATAGCACACGTGCCGTTAGACTTGACCAGAATATTTTTCGACTTCAAGTCTCTGTGAGCGATGGCTGGCTTTCCCTGTGTTCCGCATATCTCCATATGCAAGTGCGCCAAACCATTGGCTATCGATGAGGCCATTTTGCACATCCCTGCCGTGTCGACAGTCATTTTACTCAAATAGTCAAACAGAGACCCGTTCTCGTGGTAATCAGTGATTAGCCACAACTGAGTCCAAGTCCCGTTGTCTGCAAACACAACAAACAAATCAATCCAAGAGTTACCACAAAACCAATATTCAGTTATTACAAACCTTTATTGTCGGCCGCAATAAATCCCAGAATATTCTCATTCCTCAACATCACTGTCTGGTAAATCTCCACTTCTCTAAACCACGAGCGCTCGTCTCGAGACGAGAATATCTTGACGGCCACTCCCTCTCCCCTCCATTTGCCTTTCCATACTTCACCAAACCTTCCCTTTCCGATGATTTCAATCAACTGTATTTGTCGAGCAATACTTCTTTGTACGAGAAGTGGTAAACCTATAGATATAATGTCAAACAATGTCACACAATGTTGTCCAACATAATAGTGAATTGAGTACAGACCTGATCCGGAGCCGGAAGTGGTGTGATCTAAAAGATCTTTGAGTGTCTGTCCCCCTAATATAGGTATTAAGGGGTCTCTACTGGTTATACTTCCCTCGACGTCGTGAGGGAAGGGGTGTCTGATTTGTCTTCGTTGCCAAATGGAAAATGCAATCATAAATATGAAACAAATCAGACATATTGGAGATGCGATTATCAATGCCGTCTCTATTGTGCCCAAAGGCTGAGGTACTTCCAATTCTGAACAATTCAAACACGTTGGTTAATATTCATATTATCAAATCAATACATCGCTTTCAATATAAAAATGAACTAAAATAAAACTAATTTCATAGACTAATGATTGCTTTATAATTCAGGCATTATGTGAAACACGGAAATAATGAATGAATTTATTATAAAAACTATCGAATATCTTATTGAAGACAAACAAAATGTGTTAAAATAACAAAATTGTTGAGTCGATAGTGAAATTGAAACACAATTATGGGTTAACATTAATGAGCAAAAGGCATGACAACAGCAT